TACTCTCGTTATACTGATGTAATATGTAAGCTGTCTTCGGACAGCCCACCCGTTTGAACTAATAAAGTGCCAGGGGCTTAAGTGGTCACCTTAATATTAAAAAAAAAAAAAAATAAAAAAAAAAAATAATAATAATTATGTATAGACGTAGGTGCATAAGGTTGACCATTCTTCTTTTTTAGTACAACAAAAAAGCCAATGAGAATTGATTCTAATTCAGTTTGATCTTCAATTTTTGTAATATCATCTGAAAGGTTTGTGTTATTTAAATATTTATTCATAGTGTTAATCTAAGTCTTGGTATTGTTTTTAGTATTAACAACTTCTGAGTAATCAATAACATAATTAAAATTATTTTGTAATGGTATTGCGAATCTAGTCTGTAATAAATAAATAATAAATGATGTAAAAAAAAATTAAGATATAAAAAAATATTCAAATCTAATATGTATATCTTATTCACATTTTTACTATAAGTCTCATCTATACTTTCTTGTAAAACCTCATTTGCACTTTTTTGAGAAATCTTATCTATACTTTTTTGAAAAGCCTTATCCATATTATCACTTTCATTATAAAATGAACTTGTATCACTAGGACTTTTGAATGTATAATCAAGTTTTATATCAGACTTGACAAAACCAGGTTGATTATATTTAAATTTGAATATTTTTTTAGCCATAACAAAGTGCATACCAATATTCTATAAGTTTAGCTAATTAATTCTCTTTTTCCTTTTGTTTTTTATTATAAATATTTGAAATAAACCTTCTCATTTTCCATTTTCAGAAATAAATCAAATTAAGAAAAAAAATCAAAAAAATTCACAAATTTGAAAAAATCGTATTTATAGTATTTATCTCTTATATAATAAAAAGTTTATTTTATTAATTCGAATAACAAATGATTATATGATAAAAGCAGTGATTGATAAAATTGAAAATAATGTAGTAATGAACATATAAAACAAAGAATAACTCATTTATTCCTCACTACCACAGGGAATAAATAGTATATATTTACTTAAAATTAAATTCTACAATTATCTAGAGAATGAAAAGAAGAAATTTTTTGCTTTATTTGATGAGTTACAGATATATCATCTTGCATATTTTAAAAATGTAATTTCACCAAAAATAAAAATTTATTAATTCTAAAGTAATGATTTTATATAAACATGTGCTAAAATTAAAAATTTATGTTTTTCTATATATAGAGATAAGTTAGTAGAAATAGAACAAATTATTTAAATAAATTTGTCCTATTTCTACTGACTTCTTCTATATAACTTTTTTTTTACTTAGATAATCTGCTTTTATCTTTTAAATAAAGTTGGTTAGTATAAAATTTTAGGATATTCTATAGAATAGGTGAGCAATATAAAAAATAAACTTTACTAATGAATAATAATCTTTAATAGATATTTAGTAGAGTCGTAAAGTTTGCAAAGTTTGCCCACCTATTCTATAGAATATTCAAATTTTACATCTATATAGTTTACTGATTTTTATTTTGTGAACCTTTTACTAAGTACAAAATAAGATAAAGTTAAAAAAAATTTTTTCTAACTTTAATTCAATTTTATACTTAGTAAAAGGTTTGCAAAAATAAAAATTATCAAACTGTATAAATGTAAAATTTTGCATTTAGTAAAAGATTTACAAAAACAAAAATTAGTAAAATATATAAAATATAAAATTTTATGCTAACAACTTTATTTAAAAGATAAAAGCAGATTATCTAAGTAAAAAAAAGTTATATATATAAAAAATATAAATTTTTAACTTTAGCACATAGCTGATTTATTTTTCTATCAATTAACCTGTTTTAATTTTCTAAGTAAAGTTGTTCAAAGCATGTGTCTATATATAATTATCACTTTAGAATTGATTTTTGGTAAAGTTAAATTTTTAAAATATGCAAAAATAATAGAGCTGTAGCATATCAAATAGAGCAAAAAATTTCTTCTTTTCATACTCTAGATAATTATAGAATTTAATTTTAAATTAATATGTTGATCAAAAAACATCAAAGCAGTAGGGCCTTTTTGGGAGTTCTGGCACAATTTTCGTTACCCATATCCATCTTGCATATAATTTAGCATTTGCGTC